GGGAGGGAAGCGGAGAGCGCAGCCGACCCCAGGCAGCCACCCGCCCCACTCTGCCCCCCCTATGCTTACCCCACCGGCCCGGGGGCGGCCGGAGCCCTTCCTCTCGGCGCTCTCAGGTCTCGCCTCCTCCGCGCCGCCCGCCCGGGCCTTGGGCATGTTCCTCCCTAGGAGCAAGGGGGGAAGATCGGCGCCTGAGCCATGTCCGGCGCGGCCGCCCGCGGTCATCGCCCGTCCGCCACGGCCTGCGCCATGTTTAAAGGGCTGGATGCGGCAGGGCGAGCCGCGGCGGCCCAGCCCCTTCCCGGCGAGCTGCGCACACTGCGCGGGGGAGGAGTCCCGCCGGCCTCGGCGCCCCGCACCTCCCGGGAGGAGCCTCCGCGTCGCGGAGATTCCCCGGGCCGCCCGGCCCCAACCCTAGCAGCGACAGCCCCTCCGCGCCCGGTTCCGTTCCGTTCCGCTCCTCCGCGCACCTTTCGCCATGCCGGCGGCGGCGCGGCCTGGCGCCCTGCGGCCCCCCGCAGCCGGGCTGCCCCGCCGGTCCCCGAGGAGCTCCCCCGCCGAAACCAACTGCTCCGCAGGGAGACGCCGCTCTCCCCTCGGCAACCCCATTGGCTTAGCCACGTGCTGATCAGCGCCGCCGCGCCCCCTGATTGGTGCACAGAGCCATACACCGCCCTCTCCCTGTCACACTGAGGTGGTCTCCGCTCCCGGGAACAGGGTTTAAATGTGCGTTCCCCGAGCGGCGATTGGTTCGTGCGAACGGCAACCAGCGCTCTGATTGGTAGCTCAGGGAGGAACCGCCCTTCCTCGGCAGAGCCCCGACACGTGGAGCTGGCGCCCCGCTGCAGTGGGCTCTGCCCGGCCCGGCCCGGCCCGGAGCGGTGGCGAGCACCGGCGGTCCGGGGGGGGGGGCATTCCCGGGATGGGGTTTAAGTCTGAAGTCCATCCTTGCCTAGAGGACAGATGATGCTCAGGCCTGAGCCTCAACCCCTTCTGCTGTAACCCCAACCCCGTCCTTAGGACGGCCCAGGAGCTCGGGGCAGGTCCAGCACATCTGCATGGAAATTAGAGCAGGACTCCAGAGAGTTAAGCAGCTTTATGGTGGGAGTACACACAGCTCATGAGATGCTTGGTGTTCCTTCTCGGCCAGTGGATGTCCTGACCTAGGGGCTACTGTTACAGGGGAACCAGCTACTTCAGGATGGCAAAACAACAGAAAACTGTAATTTTCCTTAACAACAACACAAAAAGAGAAGGACCACTGTCAGCTTCATCAAGGAATGCCCAGAAGGGACGGCCCTCGCAGCGAGAGAGCTGGAGGCTGCAGCTGCAGGGTTGGCAGCAGAAGCAGCCCCATGCTTTAGTCTGCCCTCTCCCCATGTCATGATAGCTCTCTGCTGAGACAGGCACTTTGGGAAAAGGAAAAAGAAACCCAGCTCTGCATTGTTGCTGTAATTTATGATGTCTTTGTCTTTGCTAACGAGGCACATACAGTTTATGGGAAGGCAACATGTTTTTGTGAACAACCTGTGCATCATGTCAATGAACTTCCTCCCTCAGGGCAGGTACCCTGAGCTCTCCAGAAGGCATCAGAGCCCTCAGGCAGACACTGGGACTATTTTTCCACCCCAGTTCCCACTGTCCTTTTCACACAGCGTGGATGTGACTGGAAAAAAAATCTTCATAAATTACTAATGATGGTTTCTTTCTTGCAGTAATCACAGAATCACAGAAAAGTTAGGGCTGGAAAGGACCTTAAGATCCTCTAGTTCCAACCCCCCTGCCACGGGGCAGGGACACCACACACTAAACCATGTCACCAAAGAGTCCATCCAACCTGGCCTTAAACACTACCAGGGATGGAGCATTTGCCAGTTCTCTGGGCAACCCATTCCAGCGCCTCACCACCTTCATAGTAAAGAACTTCTCCCTTACATCTTAATATCTTATATTTTAATGGAGAAATGCTGTTCCTAATGTCATGGGAAAGCTCTGGAAACACCTTTACTGTGTTTTTACTCAGCTTTTGGGGATATTTTTAATAGCCGTTTTATAGCTGTGCATTAAACAAAAGCAATAGGGTTTGCAGCACCGAGGCCGTGCGGGTCGCCGCTAGAGGGCAAAGCCAGCGAAGTTAATTCCCTTCCCTGGAGCAACAAAGGAAACAACGTCAGCTCTAACATCAGCTCAAGCCGGCCCCTGCTGCCAGCGCGTTGGGATAGCACCAAGAATGAACCAAATAGCTTTCCCCCTTGCCTTGTCTCAGGGAGCTATGACCAAAAAGGCAGTACCAAGGGGAAGTTAAAATGTTATCATGCATAAACCCTGCCAAAAAAGGACTTGTCCAGCTGTAGCTGCTGGTCACCATGACTCAGGACTGGCTCCTGTGCACTGGAGACAGCGGGATGATTCCCACTGGCATAGGCTTTAAAACCCAGTGACCTAAATATTATCTCCCATAGTGCTGTAAAAGCAGCTCCAGTGGGCTCTGTGTTTTCATGTGGAAATGGGAAGTCAGGGGGAAGGGAAGAAAAGCGAATGAGCAAAGTGCTGGTTTTGCTCAGAAAGCAAAGGAAATCTTCAGAGTAAATCCCTCCAGCCTAAACACTTCACACTGTTAATATATATATATTAGTTTTAGAACTGGCTACCTTTAAATTCAAGAAAGTTCTATTTCTCTCAAGTAGACCAACAAGCTGCTGGTTATGTATTCCCACTCGAGAGCAAGTTCTTGCTGTAGTTCTCCCACAGCTCCTGTTACATTTTCAATAAAATAAATCATAAATCATAGAATCACAAACTGGTCTAGGTTGGAAGGGACCTTCAAGCTCATCCAGTCCCAGCCCCCTGCCACAGGCAGGGACCCCTTCCACTGGAGCAGCTTGCTCCAAGCCCCTGTGTCCAACCTGGCCTTGAGCACTGCCAGGGATGGGGCAGCCACAAATATCACAATATTTACAGAAATTTCTTATTAACAAGATGAAATCTTGACATTTTGCATTTTGACCGCTGTACCTCGCCATGAAAAAGCACATTCATACCCTAAGGATAACAGTTGCACATTACGTTAGGCAACTTATAGTCATATAATAAAATGGCAATAGGGGCTAATCCCATTTCACAGCTTATAAAATATAATTACGTTCACAGTAGTGTCTAATTATGGTAAAAGGGACTAAGGGACTAAAAACATGGATCTCATTCACTGAGATCATTAACTCACACACAAAGTCCTGTGGAAACAGTATCCTGCAGGTAACACTGCATTTCACACCAGTGGGAAGTGGTGTTGTCACTCATCTCTCCCTGTCGAGGATGGTCATGAACTCTGCTCATAGGCCTGACAGGTTAACTCTCTTTTCAGCTCCAGGTACCAAAAACATCACCTTCTTGTCCCGATTGTATAGAGCTGCTTATGTGCCTTTAATGTTAGCTATAGCACACACACACTGTCCTTTATTGTGCCTCTATTTGAAGCACTAGAGGAAGGTATCAGCCACCATTTGAATTGTTCTTCTCATCTCTGGCCAGGCTCCTCTCATCTTCTTCTAGCATCTAAAGCATCACTGATTAATCTGTATGATTTAAGTCAGTTTAATTAACATTGCTTTGTCTTTAAATAGCTTAGTCTAAATCCGCCTAATCCATTATTGGTTATTTTAATCCTTTTTAGGTTTGCCGAACAAGAAAATAAGTAAACTTGCATAAACTGAGCAAGCAGCACGGAGCGTTTTAAGCAGGTTTCATGAGTGCCACACTTCGTGTGTGCTTCAATTTTATGCTAAAATTCTTACACGTTTTCATATTCCTACACATCTAGGAAAATATTTTAATGGAATAATGTCCCTTTCAGCAAGAATCTTGTCAGTCTGAGGGCCTAACTGCTAAAAGATCTCCCTAAATGTCAAAGCAAATGTAAGCAGTCATCGGGTTTTCAGGTAGAACTAGCTCTTTGCAGCAGAAAATGTCACTTTAGCCACTTTTAAGGTATTTGTGAGGGAAAACTCATGTGCCAGCACATTGCACGTGTGGCATTACCAGGCTGCTCAGCAGGGATGGCCCTCAGCACCGCTGTCACCTCTCGTTCTCCTTAGGGCGCTGCTTCTGTGAGGGGGACACTGGCGAGTCGTGCGCCTGCGAGGGAACGGGGGTCAGTAGGCATCCCGCAGAGCCCAGAGCCCTGCAGTGCTTTCACAAGGACAGCAGCGCCAGCCACGGCGGGCTGGAACCGAGGGGGGCCGCGTCCAGCGGCGGGAGCAGGCTCCGACACCATCGCTTGCTCCTCAGCCGATGGAGGCTGCCCGCCACTGCCGCGCACCGCCTCAGACGGATGGCGCAATGCGCATGCGCCACCCCTTCCTCTTTCTCCTTCCCTCCCCCCCCCGCCCGCGCCCGCGCCCGCGCCCGCGCACGGACACAAGGCGCGTCATCACGATACCCCGAGAAGAGCGAGCTCTCGCGAGAGTGCCGCCTGTCGCGTCCTCGCGGCAGCCGCCATCTTGGAGAAGCCGGGGATCACGTGACCGCTCGCAGCCCCGTTCGCCTCCGCCTTCCCCTCCCCCACCCAACCGGGAACCGGGCCCAAGTCGCCAGCCTCGAGTCCGGTCCGCCGCCATCGGCTCCGGGGCAGCGCCCGCCCGCGGGGGACGTCGCGCTCTGAGGACGGTGGATACGCCGGGTGTCGGGGCGGGGAGCTGTTGGTTGGGCAGGGAGGAACGAGGAGCGGCATGTCACGTGACGCGGTCGGGGGAGCGTGCGCCACAGTCCGGTGGCGGCGGGAGCGGAGCGGGGGAGGGGGGGGCGAGGGGGGAGAAACGGGGGAGAGAAAGGAGGGGGGGTTGGGCGCGAGTCGGTGGCGGCGGCCACGTGATTGGGGAGGCCAGCGTGGAGGGGCCGCGCATCACGTGGGGCGAAGCGCGCGCCAGCGGCGGGCGGTGGCTGGCATCACGTGGGGAGGGGTGGGGCGCGTCGTTCGGGGGGAGGGGAGGGGGGGGAAAGGAGGAGGAGGAGGTGCGGTGTTGGTCACGTGGTGCGGCGCGGCGGGCGGCCTTCAGCCCCGCTCCCCCCCTCCCCCTCCCTGTGAGAGGGGAGGGAGGGCAAAGATGGCGGCCGTGAGTTAGAAAGCGGCGGGCGGCGGCGCCAGCGGCGGACACTTCTAGGAGCGGCCGCGGGAGGACCGGGAGCGACCGAGAGAGAGTGAGTCCTGCTCCGCCCTATCGCTTGGTTGCGGGTCTGCTCGGCCGCCTCAGGCCGCTCCCTGCGCCGTGGGTTCGCTGCGGCGCCCCCGGGGGTTCTCTCTCCTCAGACACCGCCGCTATCGCTGCGCACCGGGCCCCGCGGTGTGTGTGTGTGAGGGGGGTGCTGTGTGAAGGGGAAGCCGCCGTGTCGGCAGTGGGCTCCGCGCCTCCCTTGGCCCCTCAGGCTGGGGCGGGCCGCACCGACGTCCCCGCCGGGGGTCCCCGGTGGGCCCGGTGCGGCGCGGTGAGGCGGGGGAAGGCGCCGCTGGCCCGGCTGGGCCGCCGCTTGCTTGCGAGTCGGATAAACTTTGTGCCCGAGGCCGTGTGGGTAGCGGTGGGGCCGCCTGGGCGGGCGGCGGAGCCCCCTTTGCTGTGGGGAAGCGTTTCGGTAGCGGTTGGCGGCGCGGGGGTGGGGGGCGGCGGTGGGGCTGGGCTCGCTCCCCCGCCCTGCTCGGGTAAAATGGCATCGGGACGGCGGCGTCTCCCCGCCGGGTCCGCGGCGCTCGCCTTTGTGCGGGCTTTCCGCGGCGGGGGTAATTGTTAACGTTTGAAATGGAGCCGCTCTGGTGAAACGAGGCGGTGTGTGTGGGGGGGGGGGGGGGGTGATTTATGGTGCTGGAGTGGCTCTAAAGGCTGCCGTGAGCCTCAACCCCATCGCCCTTCTCCGGGATCCTAGCGTTGTGAAAGGGATCTTTAAAGACATGAAGGGCTGAAAACAAAAAGTCGCGCATGGGACACAATTACGCAGCCAATTCTCGCCCAACCCGGAAGTTTATGTCGGTAACACGTGTTGGTGGGGAAGGTGGCGAGGCTGGGAACCGGGACCCTCCCGCTGCCTTTCCGCGGGGCTGGCGCGCCCGGCCGGAGCCCCGCAGCTCCCGGTGGGGCTGAACGCCGCAGCGACAGACCCGGCCTCAAAGTCCAGTGACTCTTAACGAGCGCATCTCAAACAGAGGTTGCTAGGGTGAGTAATTGTTTAACATAAAAATGTCCTTACAGTCTGAATAGGAAGAGGCCTTGTGAGGTTTCTGTCTATCTTTTTATCGGTTGTTTCATTGTTATTTTTAGTTGAGCAGGTTCCACACTGTGTTTGGGGGTATAAATTACAACTCTTGGACTTTCTAGCAGGTATACAGAGCCTGTTTTAGATGTTTGCTGCCTGCTAAAGATCAGGCCAGTCGTTTAAATGCTTAAAAAAGTTGAGTTGATGAATTGGGTGACTTAAGATTGTGTTGTTTATTCAAGCTAATAATTCTTCTAATTACGGTTTTTTTTCCCCATTACTTGCTCTGGAGTTAAGAATTAACTCAGCGATGCATTGATTTGCTTTAGGGCATGTAGGTGGCTTCTGGATTAAAATGAATTAAATGCATGCATGAATGTTTTGCAAGCTTTTTTTTGCCCCCCCCCCCCAATTGAAAAGCTGTAGTTGATGATGTAAAGCAAATAATTTGCTATGTCAGAATGACATTTGAACTGGTGTGATATGTTACTTCTGAATGTCATTATAGTCTTTAAAATGCGGGCAATTTGTCTTTTTGCTATCCAGACAAATTCCTTGATGTCAAAACTGACCAACAGCTACTTGAGAAGCTATTGGAGTGGGCAGCAGTATGGTTAATGTGTTTCTTGTTCCTCGAGATATACCTAGAAGAGACTCCCAGGCCAAAATCGAGGGAGGGTAAAAGTGCTCAGATACCGCTGGTGCCTCTTCTGGGTTTTATTTCTTAAAAGCCTTCACTAGAGCCTAAATTTTGACCTCCAGCCATTTAGTCTGAAGGCTGAATTTTAGCCAGATCATTACATATAACATTTTAAAAGCTTCTCAGTTTCCCATTTTCAGTCCATGTATCCTGACCGCTGTGAATTTCATAGAATAGTTGTAAAGAGAGCTTTGAGGCAGAGTTGAGTGCTGCAGCATCCTGAACTACCTTACACGCATTGACTTCAGAGAGGTGGCCAGTGCATGCAAAACTGTTGTGTGTTTTACAGGGTTTTGTGTATCACAAGTAGATTTTGTACATTCAAATGCCATGTTGACTATTAGGCTTGAGGGTAAGGCCTGTAAGGATGGGTGAGTTCAGTCATTAGTGCCTTACACTGTGGTTGGATGGTGACTTGGAAAGGACTAGAAGAGCATGGGTTGGCTTTTTTCCTATTTTATTGTTTCCCAGGTTGCCTTCTGGAGCCAAAAGCTGCAAGATGAGCAGAACCCATCTGGATATCCAGAGAATCCTGTTGTGTGGGATTAGGGGTTAGCAGCCCTTACACCTCTGTTGTGAGAGGCTGTGCATGGAGATGGCAGTTTTTTAGGTTAATAGTAGCTTGTGGTTTAGGCAGAAAGCTGTTGGGGTCATACGTGTCTTTTCTCTACAACTTCAGTATTTGTGTGGTATTTTAAGTGGCTTCCAGTGTAGGTCAAGTGACATGTATTCCTCAGAAAGCCAGTGGGAAAATCCCTCCCAGTAAAAGGAGAAACAGGATTTGCTAAACTGCACTGGTCCCATTTAAACCCACGTTTGCATGTTGGGTGTGCCACAGAGGCCAGATGTCCAAAGGGTTTGGAAAGAGCTGTGCGTGGTTGATTGTGATCGATCTGAGCTAAGCTGTGATGTTAGAGTTGATGAAGATTTTTAGATAAGCACATTAGGTATACAGTGTTACAACATGTAACTCTCACCCCTAAAAATCAAAAGCCTTTTCATTGTTTAGGATTCTGCCATTATTTTCCTTGGGGGAAATGGAGAGTGGGTTGCTTAGCATGTGCTTTAGAATCCCTTTTTTGTTTTGTTTTTTGCTTCTTTGTACCAAAGCTAAAATGGAGGGAGGGAGAGAGTCAGGTTGGCATGGATACATGACATACTATTAAACATGGCATTTTGGTTTTGTGTCTTTAAATCAGAAGTTATTTACATAACATGCAGTGGTAGCAAAGCTGTCTTTATCAAAGTTTTAGGCTATATTCTGCAGCAGAAGAGCACCTTATGGAAATGCTTGATGCATTGTGATAGCCCTTCTTGAAATGGCAGCGATTTATATGATTGATACAAAAGAAACTGAAATATTGCTGCTGCTGGAATTCTAGAAATACATATTTTTTGTTAGCTTTATCTAACAGGTTGAATCTTGATCAGTGACATTGGGCAGCCCGACTAAACATAGACAACCTTATCTGCAAGATTCTGCATGCTCACAACAGTCCTTGGATTGGTGAAATGCTTAGGGAACAGCTTGTAATATTCACAACTTTTTTATAAGTAATTTCTTTTGGAGATTTTAAAGATGCGGCAAACAGGTCCTTATATAGTTTTGCCAAAGCTGAGCTGCAGAGCTTGATAAAGTCGCTTTCACTTGTGTTAACTGAGGAGCCTCCTACCTTGTAAGATTATGGAGCTGTTTTAGCTTGATAACGCTTTAGGCTTGACTAGCGTATGTCACAAAAAATAAACTGACCTATCACAGTGCAGCTTTGCCTGTATTTACTTATTTCTCCTCACTTAATTTCCTTACTGCATTAAAACCGGGGATAGGCAGCAGTGGGGCTTGGAAGTTTCACAAAGCCTAAAACTGGTGCGAAGTATTCAGTGACTTATAATGTAAAAATTCTAGAAGTCCCAAATTCCTTTTGTTCCAGTTTCAAACAATGCAGCTTTGTTCCTAGTGTACAGAAACAAAATAAGTGAAACTAGTCAAACTTCCATTGTCCAAACTGTATGACACAAATAAACTATTGCTGCTGTTCTACTTGCTTTTTGCTGGATTGTTAACAATTGCTGAGCTTTAAGACTGTTAAATTTGGGGTTAGTGTGAGAGATGCAGCTGGGGGGTTTCTTATGTGAAGAGAGCCATGCTAGGAAAGGGATGCTTCTAAACCGAAGGTACTCATTCTGGAATTGTAGGAATTCCTACACTAATTTCTATCACTCAGTACCTCATAAAAGCTGAAATGAGCAATTATTACTGCTACAAATACTTTTTTTTCTGAGCTTGGTGAAACAATCTCAGGCTATCCGTGGCGGTTTTAAAGGTTAAAAACCTAGAGTTCAGTATTATCACAGCTATGTTAAACTTGAAACACAGTTGTTGGGTTGTGGCACTGTTCTAGGATGGTTAGGGAGGATGTGTTTTTGTGTGGTGTTGGCGTGTTTTTTTCTAGCCTTGGTTTTGTTTTGAGTCTCAACTTCACAGAAGGGCCTTCACACACTGCAAGGGTAGAGTAGAAGTTATCTTGAGTAATTTTTTTTGGTGCTAGCTCTCTTTCAAGTAAGCACCCCAAATTTCTGTCTTTCCATGCCTTTATTCCGTGGAGCCACTTATCTCTCAACCAAATTTTAATCCTATCTTCTCTTAGAGCTGGTGGCATCAAAACTACATACAGACTAAAACACTTCATAACTGGCATTCTTTCCTTGATACATTTGGACAGGTTTGTTTATTTGACCATGTAGAGCAAAGGTGTTGCACTATGTCAAGAGTGCTCATGCCCCTTTCCCAAATGGGCACTGTAGGGTTATGAACGTGAAGTGCTTTGGAGCTGCTGTTTTGAAGGGGTAACCTGTCTTAATTCACCTTTTGTGGACAAATTAATCTCAGTACCCTCAGTTCTTAACACCAAAAGTAATGATGAGCTAAAACTCTATCTGCAGTCTTAATCTTTGTAAACTAATCAGCAAACAATGCTGTAAGCTTCTAAACTTAGCTGAAAAAGTCTGAAAATTAAGGATTTATCTTACCCAATTAATATATATGTGAGATCCCCTTGTTTTGAGATGAGACATGTAATCTTTCTGCAAGGTAGAGCTGACAGTCTGTTCTTACTCATTTTTTATGACCCATTCAAGGTTCTAGGAGATAGACTAGTGGGAGGTGACATCCTTTGAAGGAGCTGCCATGTTAATTAAATCTGCTAGATGTCTTTATTTCTTAATATCTTCTGTGCCTGATAAGTTGGCAGAATGGTCTGGTTTGTAATTACGTGATCACCTCAAATGCCTTTAAAAAAGTAGAATCTAGTTTTGACACAGCAAGTGGTGTTCAGGGGGATTGCGTGTGGTCAGTAGCAGTCCCACCAATTACTGCTTGTTGCTTTGCTATTCTTTTGGGTAGTGCAGTCTTTTGATGCTTCAGAATATGTCTTCCCCTTGTCCCAGTACATTACATCCACTGCTTCAATTGTGGTGCCACCATTTTGGTATTAGTCCACTGAAAGAATGTTTCTCCCTACTATTGCACAGACTAGAACTAGGAAGAATAAGAATTATGTGCCTGGGGCTTAACTTAGCACATTTGGCAGAACAGGTAATTCTTGTAATGAGTTATGTGTGTGACCAAGCAGCTGGATGTGGCTTAGCTGTGCATGTAAAGGAGGACAAGCAAGCGAATGCTGATTTGGAGTCTCTGAATGAGTGTATCTAAAATGCCAATAAATATTTTTGTCCTCTTGCCTCCTTTACGGTAGGTGTTCATCTTTGTTAGGTTTTGGTGTTTTGTTACCAGTGGATGTTACGGGGGTTTAGAGGAGAAGGGAAATAAATCTTTATTGAGGTATAGAATATATAAGTAACCACTCAAGTTATGTGGCCTCATGTAATTTTTGTCTTAGTACTAACAGAAATGAGCTTCCTTCTTAAGGAAACAAAATATGTTCTGTCTTAATCTGAAAACAGAGTATTTGGCTTTTTTAACAAGGTTTTACACCGTCTAGAATAGCTTTTTGAAGTTAATTTTGCTTGTCCTACACGTAAAGGAGTCTATGACCTGATGTTAGTGTCCTATTTAATATGTAGTTAACATACTACAATAATAGAACATTGGTTCTTTCCACTATGCAAAACAAAATTTCCTCTATGAATGAATTACTACCTAATGTAAGGGCAAGCAAGAAAGAAAAGCTTTCCTTATAAGCTTTTTATCGCTAACTTGTTGTTACAAGATAAACTAAATGAGTTTTAATTGTGCTTCCCTCGTGCAGTGTGTTTCACTGACAAAGACTCTGGCATTAGCATAATACAGTCTCACCGTTTCTGTCTCTTGTTCTTGTAAGGCTCAAAAGTGTGGTGCAGCAAAGACCAGAAAAGGCTTATTTTTTTTCTTTTTAAGCTTATGGGTATGATAGCATCTTCTGCAGTAAACTATGTAATTCTTCCTGCTTCTAAATATGGTGGGTATATTGAAAAGATTTAAGAAACAAAATAGAGGGAAAATCTCCAAATGATCAGAAGAGCCAGAACAAATCCGGAAAGTGAAACTGTGCATACAAGAGAGCACATTGCATACGCCCGTAAATGCAGGAAGGGGAACTTCAGTTGTGAGTATGTGTGTGTGCACAAAGTCAGAACAAAATGTAACTGGTATTTGTGGTTCTGATTCTTTTAGAGATGGTGGAGCCAGGACAAGATCTGTTGCTTGCTGCTTTGAGTGAGAGTGGAATCAGTCCAAATGACCTGTTTGATATTGACTCTCCGGATGTGGTTCTTGCAACTCCAGCACCAACTCCAGCTGTTCAGCAGGTTAAAACAAGAACATAGGTGTTTGCTATAGGACAGAAGAGCTTCTACCTGTTTGTTGTGCTGAGCGGGGCTGGGGGGAGTATCCATGGCAAATAGTTAATGAATGTGGAGTTTTCATAAACTTTTTGTTTCATAGCACTGAGATTGGAAAATGCCTTCTTAATTTCAAACTTCTATGCAAAAAAAAGCAATCTGAAGTGCACTGTTTACATCAGTATAAACATAAATATACTTAACTTGTGAGCCTTAAAGGGTGGCCTGCTGTCATGTATCCATGGTGAACTGTAACATCACTGGAGTCTAACTGTTCTCCTATGAAATGTGTGAAAAAAGTGTAATACAATACAGTGTTTAAGCTCCATGACAGCACTCGGTTATTTCATAATTGACCGTTTCAGCCACAGAGTGGGAGCAGCAATATGCTTAACAGTGATATCACAAAACTAATTACATTTTTACTGCAGTTAACTAACAAAGTGTTGTATGTTTAACTTCTCTGGATGTGAAATTGACCTCTTGCTGATCTTTTATTTTCTGTGAAGCCTTTGTTAATGGGCACAGTTGAGGACTTCCCTGTTGACTTCCCTGTTCTGTGGGTGGATATTTACTCTTAAGGTTTCTTTCCCTGCTAATATTAAAGTTTCCTGATGCTTACTTTCTTTCCTCTGCAGTCAGTGCCACTTAGTGCTTTAGAACTAGGCTTGGAGACTGAGGCCACAGCTGCTGTGAAGCAAGAACCAGAGACTGTATCGACTCCAGCCTTATTAAATGTTCGGGTAAGGACTGGTACTTCAAGGTTTTACATGTGTTATTGTGGTGGGTTAACCTTGGTGGGACATCAGGTGCTCTTTCACTCCCCCGTCCTCAGCTGGATGGGGGAAAAATGGTGCAAGACTTGTGGGCCGAGATAAGGACAGGGAGATCAGCAGTTAGTGTCACAGTCAAAACACTCTACTTGGGGAAATTTATTGCTGCTTCCTCCTCATGCTCATTCCCTGCTCCAGCAGCTCCTTCGCAAACTTTTCCAACATGGATCATTGTCCCAGACTGCAGTTCTTCTCCACAAACTGCCTCACTGTGGGCCCTTCCCATGGTGCACAGTCCTTCTGGAACAGACTGTTCCAATGTGGGTCCCTCTATGGCTGCAAGCCCTGCCAGAAAACCTGCCCCTCTCCATAGGGTCATGATGTGCCTGAAGGACGTGCATGCTCTGGCATGGGGCCCTCCATGAGCTGCAGGTGGACAGCCCGGAGCACCTCCTCCTTCCTCACTGACAGTGGAGCCTTCAGAGTTTTCTTGCTTAGTCTCACTCCTTTCTCCCAGTTGTTGATTGCACAGTAGTTCTTCCTCCCTTCTTAAATATGCCTTGTGGCTTAGACCCAGCTGATAACTCAGCATCATGCAGCCGCTCACTCACAACCCCCCTTCCTTCTGGGCAGGGCAGGGAGGAGAATCAAAAGAATGTAAATCCATGGCTTGAGATAACAGTTTAATAACTAAAGTGCTATATACTAATAATAATAATAATGGTAAGTGAAGTAACGGCGAGAGAATGTAAAACTAAGAAGGAAAAGTCAAAAAACCCAATAAACACAAATGATGCACAATTCAACTGCTCAGCACCCACCGATGCCTGGCCTGAGCAGCAGTTGGTCCCTTCTAGGTAATTCCCCCTGGTTTCTATACTGAGCATGACAAGCTATGGTATGAAACACCCCTTTGGCTAGTCTGGGTCAGGTCTCTGCTGCCTCTTGGCTTCTTCTGCACTTCCTCACTGGTAGAGCATGAGAGACTGAAAAGTCCTTGATGGGGATAAGCACTGCTCAGCAACAACTAAAACATGGGTGTCTTACCAACCTGTTCTCACACTAAAGCCAAAACACTGTACTAGCTATGATGGGTTCAGCCTTGACCAGCTGTGGGTTCATCTTACAGAAGGCTGGAACTGTCTCTATTGGATGTGGGGGAGACTTCTGGCATCTTTTCACAGAAGCCACCCCTGCAACCTAACCTTGCCACATAAACCCAATACAGTGTATTAGTAAAATATAATGAGGGAGGTGCGACTGTAAGGTGCCAGTTTGCCATCATCTCAGTTCTGCTTGTACTGAGACTGTGAAAGCTTAGCAATTGTGCAGAGAGTGTATGTATTTGAAACTCTCAGCATAGGGTCCCTGTACCTGCAGTGGTCATGTCTTGTACCTAGGCAGTGAATCCTTCATCCTGTTTTATATTTCCTTTAAAATGTGAAAATAGCATGCAAAACCACGTGTAGCAGTGTATTGATAGACACTTCGTGCTCAGACTGTTGCACCATGAGATAATTATCCTTAACATCTTCAGCATGTTATATGAAGACATTTCTTATTACAAGTGTTTTAAAAACTGGTGACTCCTTGTCCTCTAGATGAAAGGCTACTAAAGTCTGCTCTTTTTCACTGTCTTCTGAAAATTTCCCTGTTGTTTCCTGTTGCTAGCAACCACCATCCACCACTACCTTTGTGCTGAATCAAATAAATCAGCTTCCAACTTTGGGGACTACGCTAGTGATGACAAAAACAACACCTGTTACAACCACAAGGCAGACTATCACTGTAGCAAAAATCATTCAGACCAGCACAACTACTCGTCCCTCGGTTGCAGCACCAGCAGTTCGCAATGCCTTGACCACTGCACCTTCAAAGGACCAGATTCAGCTGAAAGATCTGCTAAAGAACAATAGTCTTAATGAACTCATGAAATTGAAGCCACCTCCTAATATTGCCCAGCCAGTAGCAACTGCAGCAAGTGAGTTTTCCTTTTAGTTCATATTTTTTCAGACAAATAATGAAATAACAGGCAGTGAAGGTCTTTGCATGTCTTGTATTTTCATTGATGAGTAGAATATCACAGTAAAATGAAATGGTCCAGAAAACCTGACAAATTCTGTTCTAACTGGAATACTGTTAGCATTCAGGGTGAAGTAATACAGAAAGGCTTTTAAAAATAACTAAGCTCTTGATTTACTGTAAGGAATGAGGAAGATTTACATTTTTAGACTGCAGTTGGCAAATTGGTAAGATTAATTTGTGAACATTACTGAAGTTGATGTAGCTATCTTGAGTCTACATCACTTTCTGTTCTGCTGGATAGTTGCTGTGGAACTATGACAAATTAGTACTTTTTTCACTGTCTCCAAGATATACTGGTCTTATAGGCAGGATTGGAAGTAACCTATTTTTCCATATGCAGATAGAGCATGCAGTAGATGAAGCTGTCTGTTAGGACTGAAACAAGAAGAAGGATGTGGCTCTATTTCATTGCATGGTTGGCAAAATTGAGACACCAACTGAAGCTGGGGTGGGGGTGAAGGAGTGAGGAAGAGGAGGGGGAGAAGTTTTTATAGGACTGACTTACACCTTGGTGCTTAATGAAAACTCACAGGAGCAATAAGTAGTAGGTAACAGCACAGTAGCTGCTGTAGTGGCACAGCTGCAGAAAGTAGTTGAATCTGTAGCTTCTGTATTAAGTGAAAAGGAGGCGTGCAACTTCTAGAACTGCATTTCTGTTCTTCTTTGTGTCCTTGTGTTTTTGGATCTTTCTTTGTGGTTACAAAACCCCAAATGCGTGTAGAAATGTCAAGGGCAGATGAGCTCTTGGAAGGCACCATGGTCTGTTCACATAATTCAGGCAGCAGGAGTTCTAGGTTGTAAAATTTTAAGAAGTTGAATTACGCAGCTTCTTTGAGGGCAACTTTATTTGTGCAATTGTCTTAATCGTTAGGGACCATTATGCTAAATTTATTACATGCATTGACTCTCAATGTGATGGAAATTTGACAGCTGCTCTCAGTGTTTTACATCTACCCTTGTGTAAATTGTTTCAGTTCGGTATAAGCCCTATTGCCAGATGCTTCCAAATGTGACAGAGGACTGGGAAGTGAAGAAATTGTCTTCTTGAAAGATCCTGCTATAAACTTTGAATAGCTGAGTCCAAAGTGTTGACTTTTTGTTTTACAGATATAATTGTAGCTTGTCCTGAGGTGGTAAATGCCACTAGATCAGGTAATCTCATTTCTGTTGAAACACTGGACTTTCTGGTTTGTTATGAAACTTCAAAGGCTCACAAGATGGAGTGTTACTAACACACAGCTGGTCACAATGTCACTGCTGGGTGCAGTGGTATTGCATGGGAAGCTTCTTCAGTCAAAGAAGTAACAGGATTTATCTCCTTGCCGAGATACTTTTTAATCTGGACAAAAATAGTAGCACAGTGATGCTTTAAGAACACAGTAGATGTTTTAAATTTCTCTTACTGTTTATTAATAGAGAAGAATGTGAATTGGAGTCAATGTTTGGAGGCAGTTCCTATAAAACGCCGCTTTTCTTTTGTAGCTGATCTAAGCAATGGTGCCATGAAGAAGGAGGCTTCCACAAAAGAGGTAGCAAGAATATGGATAAATGATATTAAAATGAGAAGTTTTTCCCCTACTATGGTAAGTAGTACAAATAGTTAATTTGCCAAATGTATATCTTACTGGCCACAACCCCCTGTGACTAATTTTGGTAGTTACTCATATCTCCCTTTTCTGTGGTGAAGTTACTGAGTGCATCTGTTTGTTCATAAGGTTAGTGTCTCCACTGAAGGAATACTTGGTTAAATGATTAAAACTAATAGCTGTGTAGAGCTGACTATCTGTATAATAAATGACAATTCCAAGAAATTACTGTCCTTAACAGAACCTCTTTTTGTGGATAAAGGGTGTGCTCAATGCGAGCTGATAAGCATATCAATTTGTGGTTTAAGACATTTTCTTTTAAAATATCCCTATTCATGTAACTAGAAATGAGGAAGTCAGAAGACTTTCTCTAGCATGGCTGACCTGGTCAGTTTAAGATGTAATTTGAGTATGAATACTTCAAAATACTAACTTACTCATCAAGGTGATAATATGAAATGCATAACACTCAGATTTCAGAGAGTCCTGGATAGAACTGTGGTTATTGTAGCTGTTCCCTGAAGTTGTGAAATAATGAATGTAGAATGGGAGCACTTGAAAGTTGGGTTTTGGCTGTTAACTGTTGTGTTTTTAAGGCAGTTTTCTTTAAGTCAGTTTGGATTTAATATGCTGTAAGAAGTGTTTCTTTTTGCTCTGCTTATGTGAGTTTGGAATACTTTCCTCTGCTTGTAAAGGAAAGGAAGTTCTCTGCCTGTGTGTCTTTAAAGGGTTGTTCAGAGTGTAATATCTGCAGTTGGGTCTGTACTTTTCCTAGCTGCTCACTGGTTCACGTAGTACATGTGTTAAAACATTCAAGTGCAAGTTTGTGCTCATTTCATGTGTTAATTCCCAGAATATAGAGTATAAGCCATGTGCTGTTTGACTAATGCAGGTATTTCTCTGTTGCAGAAAGTGCCAGCAGTAAAAGAAGAGGAGGAACCTGAGGAAGAAGATGAAGAAGAAATGGGCCATGCAGAAACTTACGCTGAGTATATGCCAATAAAACGTACGACCTCGTGTTTTTTTATGTCAAAAGGCTGAAATGTGTTGTGAGCTAGTTTGTTGCTAACTCTTCTGTAGTTACTAGCACCAAAAACCAGGTAGGTTACTACCCAAATCAAGTGAAAATGGCCTGAATTTGTTGTGGGTTTTCCTAGGAGATTTTTCTCTTTTATAGCGCTTTGTTTTGGAAGGTATGCACATTTCTTTAATAGAAAAGGTGTTCTTTAGCGTATCTTTGAGCAATACTTGCTTCAGAAACATGATTTGTGAGCTCTTTCTTTACCCATGTAAAGATGGTTTGTGCCTCAGCAGAAGAAATTTTGCAAAGGGATTAAGTGGTCACTTAAGAATCTAGTTTGAGTTTTCTGGTGTAATACCACCCTAAGCACATTCTTCCTGCATTGTTCCTGACTACTTCAGGGCTGTTTAAAACAAAAAAGTGAGTATTTTACTGCTGTTAGTGGCCATTTCCTCTTTATTTTTCCTCCTCTTTATTGCAGTCAGTGACAAAAGGTGATATCTTGTTTTGTGGGTACATGGCTGACCTACTGTAAAAACAAGGCAAAAAACTTTGCATGGAGTTTGTAGCTAAATGGTTAATTTTTATTGTCACTGGTGAGCTCTGTCAGCAATTATAAACCATGTCTGGTCTAAATCTTTTCTCATACTGCTTAAAACCAGCTCTATATAAATAGTGTGAAGAATGTTGCTTTTGTGATTCTGGCATCTTGAGGCTGCCTCTGGCCTTTTGGGAAGACAAGGTTCAAACCATTTCTTCTCAGACATGTCAAGTACACAAATACTTTAATTTTCTGTTAACTGAATTTCATCTACTTCTGTAAAAATTGGGGGAAGGTGGTGAAAATAGAAACAAATTTAACATAGCAGTTCTTCATATTCAGGTTAATGTATTCCTTTATATGATGCAGCTTAAGTCTTGACATACCATTGCACCAAAATGTGGTGGTTCTTGCCTTTGCAACAGACAGTTGTAATTTGTTTTGGTAAGTATAATACCAGTACTATGTTTTCATCTTCTCCCTTTTCCTTTTCAACCAGTAAAAATTGGTCTACGTCACCCTGACCCAGTAGTGGAAACCAGCTCATTATCCAGTGTAACTCCTCCTGATGTGTGGTACCAGACATCAATATCAGAAGAAACAATTGATAGTGGCTGGTTGTCTGCTCTGCAGCTTGAAGCAATCACTTACGCAGCCCAGGTATGGGAGACATTAGCACAGCTTAAAAGCTAACATAGAATTTAAGAAGAAAAACTATTCTCTGACAAATGCAGCTATGTCAGTTTTATAAGGAGATAAAGTAAGAAGAGCTTAAAGGTTTGAGTTGCATTAGAAGGCATCAGGTAAGCTTCAGATAAATGTGAGGTGATACACCTAGAAAAGTTTTGTGTAAGCCACTTCCATGATGCTGATCTCAGACTGTCTTAAAACTCAGGAAGGACCTCTTAGTCATTACTTTTATTCCTCTGAAATAACTTAATGGCTGCAGTAGCAGGAAAGTCAACAGTGGCATCACTGGGATGGCATAGAAAACAAGATTGGGTGTTACTTTGCTGCTGTATTAAACTTCAGTGGGCCCGCATGTGTGGGCAGCACTGTGTCAGGGAAGAAGGTGGTGAAGTTAGAAGACAGCTAAAATGGTCACAGGAGGGAATAAGTTGCCTCATGAGAAGACACTGATGAGGCTGGGGCACTTTGATCTAGAGAGGAGAAAAATTGAGAGGCATGCAATCTAGTTTGATATAACCAAGAAGGCAGTGGAATCCCACAGAACAAGAACAGAGCAGAACTTGGGGAAACTGCTAGGAAAATTGATAGAAGAATACATCTTTACGTAGGCAGTGGGTGTCTGGGTTTTGGTGCCACAGAAGGCTGTGGAGGGGCATATGAGTGGGTTAAAAAAAGGCATCAGTGTAGTAGTAGACACTAAAAGAATTACAGCTGTATACAGCAAATCTTACAGCAGTTGTAGGTGCTAAAGGGAATAATGGATCACATAAGGCAGTCCATAAGCTCATATGCTCTCCCTAGATAAAATCCCTTCTTTCTGCTGTCAGGAGGCTGCTTGGCTGGGTGGACCACCGATCTCATCCAATAGGATGTTTCTTATGTTTGCTTATTTCTGACAATCCACAGCGATGTGTTCTGGAGAATGGGTACAAGTTTTTTGTTCTTTTCTCCTACAGCAACATGAAACATTCCTGCCCAATGGAGACAGAGCTGGATTCTTGATAGGTGATGGTGCTGGTGTAGGAAAAGGAAGGACCATAGCTGGAATAATCTATGAAAATTACTTGTTAGGCAGAAAAAGAGCAGTCTGGTAAGTGTGTCAGGATTTGTCAGAGCAGACACTGTAGTGACTATAGTACTTAAATTCAGTGTAATCTGTCTTCTGACATGTTCTAGCAAGTGCTTTCTGAACCAACTGCTGTAACTTACAGAATATATGCTTTGCTTTCTGTCTTCAGGTTTAGCGTGTCAAATGATCTGAAATACGATGCTGAGAGAGATTTGAGAGATATTGGAGCAAAAAACATATTGGTTCATTCATTAAACAAGGTGTGGAAACTTTTTACTATGTACAGTTGAGGCAAAACTTTAGGTACGCTTGTGTGACGAGTTGTGCATGTTGACTGTTCTAAGAGCAAGAATGTACTAATTTCAATACATTTGCTGTGTAGGTCTTGTTTGACAGGCTTTAATCTTGTGAAGAACCAAACAGTGCTTGAAGTTAATCATGTAAATAGGCCCTATTGTAGGATTAAGTCTTAGCATGTGATGTTTTCTAAAATACTATTGAAGCCACTGTTGCTATTACTAGTATTTTCTGAAGTATTCTTTAAATCTTTAGATTTTGTTGCATTTGCATTTTTTCCTTTCTGTCTCCCAGCACATATTTTATATGTACTACATTTTGTGTGCAATACTTGAATAATAGGCTTCCTCAGTAACTTATTAAAGCAGCAGTGGCAAGCGCAGTTATTTTTGGTGACTCTTGTCAGGATTAGCCACTTAAACTGTGAAGTGTGATTACTGGTTGAATTTACTGAACTTGAAGTTTGGTTTAAGTCAGTATTTTTGCTTTGTGAAGTCTTAATTTCTAAAATGCTATTAAATACTTTCTAAAATACTAAAAAGCTTTAGAAATTGTCATTTATGGTGTTAGCTATGAATACACTTGACCTATTAGCTCTAAAGCATGCATTGAAACTAAAATCTTAATTGTATTTAAGGAGACCATGTAGTCAAAGAATGTGGCTGTTAATCTTTTGAGGCCTCAGATCTAGTCTTCCATAAGTACGTATTTAAGTAAGGCCCTGCATAACCCATTAACCACATCACCATATGCCAGTCATGCCATCATCATGATGTAGGGATACAGGTGGTTCAAAGTGTATGCACCTTTCCATTAAGACCACCAGCATCCCTTAATCACGTCGTAGGTAGGATCTCTTCTGAATAATTCCTGTAATTTCTTATCTTTTTATTGCAGTTCAAGTATGGGAAAATTTCTTCCAAACATAATGGAAGTGTGAAGAAAGGGGTCATCTTTGCTACCTACTCTTCTCTTATTGGTGAAAGTCAGTCTGGTGGTAAATACAAAACCAGATTAAAGCAGCTTCTGCACTGGTGCGGTGAAGACTTCGATGGAGTCGTATCCTTTATCTGGAGATCAGTTGATTGTAACCAAATTGCTCTTTAAGCTCACATCCCTAATTTTGCTGGTATTTTTAGTGGTATTCTTTGCTCCTGACAGTAACTGATCGTGTGCATGCTCTGACATTAGACTTGAAGCTTTACAAACCTCGTGCCAGATCTACTACCATTGTATTGTTGCCACACAACTCTGGTACCAGAGTGAAGCTTCTGCTGTCTCTGTAAGGAGCACGTAAAATACAAGTGTGATATTTAAGAACCTTAAGCTTAGACTGAAATTTTCTCCAGTGAGTTCTTATAATTCTGAATATTGACCACATCTTCAAGAACTCAGGTGTTGGTAATTGTGCTCTTAAGTACTTCCTAGCTAAATATTTTTCCCAAGGCATTTAGTGAAAAATATGACTAGCATCTTTCTGAGTTTATCATTTACTGCTGCCACCTCTTGTGATTACCAGATTTCTGGTTTAGCTGTGGGACCAAGTGTTTTCCTTAATTACAGTTCAGATTGTATTCGATGAGTGTCATAAAGCAAAGAATCTGTGTCCTGTTGGTTCCTCCAAACCAACAAAAACAGGTCTGGCTGTATTGGAACTTCAGAATAAACTTCCGAAAGCCAGGGTTGTTTATGCCAGTGCCACAGGTATGTACTACTTGGTTTGCATTTAATGTCTCTGTATGCTTTTAATGGCACCAGTACTGAGTGTGTTCTTCTCCTAGGTGCATCTGAGCCAAGAAATATGGCATACATGAATCGTCTTGGTATATGGGGTGAAGGAACTCCTTTTAGGGAATTCAGTGATTTTATTCAGGCTGTTGAAAGAAGGTAATGTTTCAAAGAACTATAGCAAGAACACATATGGTTGACTATGCTTTCCAGTTCCTTTGTCTTCACTCACTCCTAGTCCTCTGCAAACTTGTCCTGTCACATAATAACTTTACATTTCTGCTAGATTTAGAAGCTGGAGTCAGTTTATGTTATGTAGTGAAAAACGGGGTGTTTCTCGTGCACTTAGAAAAGTTTGAGCTCTTTAGATGCTTGCTGGGAAAATAGCCTCTTAAAATGTGGGTGTTATGCCATGAAAATACTTTGCTCATCATGAAATCACATTGCGTGTGCTGAGCATGCTCAGTTGATGTTTCACAGTGTGCAGAAGCCCTCTAATGCTTATGCATTCAGCTTAGGCAGTTGAACAGGAAGAATTCTTGCTCTTATGTTTTCTGGCATAAGAACCTAGTTCAGGAAGATTATGCATGCTGTTGCAAGGTGCTTTGTATTTCAGAGCTTATTAAAAGAACTAAATGTGAGAGGTCAATAGAAAATGCAGCTGCTACATTCTTTTGTAGGTGAGCATCTTAGTATATTATGTTTTGCCTACTTAAAAGGAATTTTAAACACTTCAGAGTGCTGCAGTAGGGCTTAGTATGCATCTTCTTGTGTAGCATCTATGTGATGCACGACTTTTCTAGACTGTACAAGTGTAGTCTCCATTACTGGGCACGTATTAAATGAGCAATAATGAAATTACAAGCCCAAGCTTGTAAGTTAGCTCTGCAGTTGACTTTGTGCTCTCAAGGTATTGCTGAAGGTGTGTTGCTGTTGAAGAGGATTTAAGTTACCTACTAGCTTAATTATTTTCATGCCACCATAAATCTGAATAGCTTAATACAGTTTATTATTTTAAGTCTTCACTGGAGTTTATAAAATTGCAATGCCAGATTTTGTTTTATATATATATTTAAACCAACAAAATTATCCAATTGCAGTTTAAAGTACTGTCTCCTAATGCATGCTAGGGGAAAAGTAACTACTGAGTGTTTATACTTCTTGGGATACACTTAATAACCACAAGGCAGGGATATAGTTTTACATGAAGGCTAAATTTTAAGTCCCTCTGATTGGATGTGTTTAACAGTGCAGTACTAATGATGTTGGAAACATATTCCTTCACATTTTTAAGCATGTTGTTTTCTTCTAAAGCACTTCAGTAATTTTGGTTTGTGGTGTTGTTTTGTTTTGTTTTTTTTAAATCCTTGCTCTTGACAATTCTAATATTGACTTAATTTATTCCTTTATTTTAGAGGTGTCGGTGCCATGGAAATAGTTGCTATGGATATGAAGCTGAGAGGAATGTACATAGCAAGACAGTTGAGTTTTTCAGGTGTAACTTTCAAAATTGATGAAGTTCTGCTTTCACAGGAATATGTTAAAATGTACAATAAATCTGTGAAACTGGTAAGCATACACTTTTGAATTTGCTTTTTGTATCGAGTTCTGAGAGGTTGAAGTTACTTGGTTTAAACTTGATTGCTCCTGAAACAGCCTTTTGTGAGATAGGCATGGCATCTTCTTGTCTCACTGTAAAGGTTTCTCCATTCAGGACTTGGCAAAAGCTGTTAATTCTTGTTCTGAGTTATGAAAGCTGCATCTTCCAGTATCTACCAAACCCACTGCCTTCTAAGTAGTACTTCAGCCTAAGATAAGGCTGCTCACCTGTTAGTTGCATTTTTGTACTCCAGTCCTCCCCCTTTAGGCAACTGAGCTGAGAACAAGCTGCAAAAGGTTAGACAGGCTGCATGCTCTTCTGCATTGCAGTAGTATGGTGGAGTGGTGCTTGTAGTTAAACAGCGCAGGGTGATAGTTTTAATCACGTGGCAGATCAAATCGAAAGCGTTGAAGCTTTGATTCCCTTTTAATGTTTGTTCACCTGCAGGTTATGTTTTCATGTTGTTCTTAATCGTTTTGCCCATATGCTAAGCAGAATGTCTTTCTCTGGAGTGCACATTCATAGACTCGTAGAATAAAAATAATTATTCCTTGGACAAAGGTTAAAATAAGCAGGGTCTTTACCTTTACCATGACTTAATTCATGTTGTATGGCTACCAGAATAAAACTTTATCTTTGACAGGTATATAACAGCTTTAAAACAGCACTTTCTTATGGATGTTGTTTAGAAGAATTGCTAAGCTTGTGTCGAAGGCTTACTTTACCTAATCTGGAAACAATTGCTATAACACAGTGTTGTAGAAATGAAGGCAGTGGGGTTTTTCTCTTCTTGGGCTCTTGCTTTGTGCTTAATTATGGGCAGTGTTGCTTGTTTCCTTAACTGGAATGTATTCATGGAGAAACTGGATAATTAGAAAATACTGTGTATGTTTGCAGTGTTAGCAATGTAAATGTATCTGCTTTTCATTATGAGAGTAATTATCTTCTGAATTTACTAAGCTTAGCTATGTTTTTTGTGAGCTTTTTTGATGTATTCTGAGTTTCCTTGTCTTTCAGTCCCATAGCACTGTAACTTTAAACTCCTGTCTTTATTTGGCTGTTAAACAATGGACCTGTGCAGCCTTGAAGTGTGACATGCAAAGCCATTAACGTTTTCTTCCTCAGTGGGTCAGTGCTAGAGAGAGGTTTCAGCAAGCGGCCGATCTTATTGATGCAGAACAACGAATGAAGAAGTCCATGTGGGGTCAGTTTTGGTCAGCTCACCAGAGGTTCTTCAAGTACCTTTGCATAGCATCTAAAGTGAAGAGGGTGGTGCAGCTGGCTCGGGAAGAAATCAAGAATGGGAAGGTAAGTTGATCAAGGTATATTTATATACCTTTGTTAAATGTAAAGCAATTGGATTTTTGTTGTTTATAATAGAGTATCTTCAGACACAGTAGTAGACATAGTAGCATGGTTTTGTACTCTATGGTATTGAAGCTATTCAGTGAGCAGAAATTCAGGCAAAAATAAACTTACAAGTCAGTGATTTTATTAACAATGTTTTGTGTTCACTTGTCCTTCAGTGTGTTGTTATTGGCCTGCAGTCAACAGGAGAAGCAAGAACATTAGAAGCTTTGGAGGAAGGTGGTGGTGAACTGAATGACTTTGTTTCTACAGCAAAGTAAGCCTTGAAGTCTTAGAACTGTTCTTTACAAAACTAACCTTAATCCAGTTTAGTGTTTGTCCTTTCATGTATAAAACATGCACCAGTGCACAGAAACTTGGGGGTACCTTTAGTACCAAAGTGCTTAAGCTGCCTGTACATAAATCTGACAGTATTGCTCAAGTGGAACCATTGGCTAGTTCCTGGTTCTGCTGGCATTCTGAAATGGTGTTCTCAGGTGTGAACAGCTGGTCCTGTTCTCAAACTGGGAGGGGGGGGAAGGTTTGCCAAGTGTACAGTGCAAAATGAGTTACAATCATGTCTTCCCTCTTCTATCAGATGAGCCAGATCCAATCCTGAGACCACCTTGCTGAAGATCTTAATTTATTAAGTTAATCTGTCATTTAAACTTGAAGCAATAAAAACATGGCAGTAGCAACACCAGTTGATACCAAAATCTTATTCAGCAAACTATAAGTAACAGTGCTGTAGAATAAATGTCTCCTACTTTTAAGGTGACAGATACAGCAATATGGGTGATAATCGTACAGCCTCCTTGTGTAATAGCATTCACAAGGAATAATTCTTCAGAGAAGCTAAGCAAGCTGTGACATTTTACAGGTTTCTACTTTAAGTAAATGCAAATTTGACTGAAGGATCCTTTTTTTTCTTATGCAGAGGAGTATTCCAGTCTCTTATTGAAAAGCACTTTCCAGCTCCTGACAGGAAGAAGCTGTTCAGCTTGTTGGGAATTGACTTGACTGCTCAAAGTAATAACAATTCACCCAGAGACAGCCCTTGTAAGGAGAACAAAATAAAGAAACGGAAAGGTAATGCTGAAGTTCCTACACTAATGCCAGAAAATGGCAATTTTAGAGCTGCCTAAGAGTGAACTCTGGGAAAAATAAGAGTGCAAATATGGGTATAATCATTCATGAAAAAAGTGTGCTACAAGAAACTTCCATTAATAGATTGTTTTAAACCTCTCTTGAAGCATTATAATCTGTAAAATCTGGTTACTTCTTTTCTCTGAATTGGGTTGATCTAGTATGGGACTTTATCCCTAGATGACTTGCATGTGTCAGACCATGTTCTGATGCAGTTACACAAATGATCGCTTCCTTTGAGGCTTCCTAAAGGGGTGCCTAAACCACCTCCCTTCCCAAACTGATTATGTTCTTACTGAAAAGTAGGTGGTAATAAAAACAGAGGTCTTAAATCTTAGATTCTTTTGAACATTTCTGTTTTCAGAAGGTGAATATTCTTCTAGTGTGTTTGCAGTATTGGTAAAACAAGTCTCAGAAGTAAGCTACAAGGCCTAAACTAACTGAACTTTTCTTCTGGGGTGACAATGGAATTAGGTGAAGAAATAAGCAGAGAAGCAAAAAAAGCTCGCAAAACAGGTGGCCTTGCAGGTAGCAGCTCTGATGAGAGTGAAAGCGAGTCTGATGCTTCAGACAATGAAGAAAGTGACAATGAGAGCTCCAGGTTTTTGAGTTCTGGAGATGATGATGACTTCAACCCGTTCAGAGATGAATCCAGTGAAGATGATGAAGATGGTAAGACAGTTTTGTGTCTCATCAAGCAAGTAGCTGTATTTGCAGATAGTAAGCATAAAATCTTGCCTAACCGTTCCAATGAGCTGAAACAAAGTGCTTGATAAGCATGTAGTTTAATTCTAATGAGATTGGAATTAGTACTAGAATGTTGATTTGCATCTTCTGAAAGTAGATTTTACACACTGGAGTTCTGACTTCTGTAATGAGAATGGGCTTTTTCAAAGGAAAGGATGGTTGGTTATTTTTTTTTCCTGTAAAGGCTCAACTTAAAAATAACTTTATTTAACTCTAGATCCCTGGTTAATTAGAAAAGAGCATAAGAAGAATAAAGACAAGAAAAAGAAGAAAAGCATAGACCCAGATTCTATTCAAAGTGCCTTACTAGCTTCTGGTCTCGGATCAAAACGACCTAGCTGTTTCACTTCCACCGTTGGTACCACCACCTCTAGTACCAACACGTCAGGTAAGAATAAGTTTCTCTGACACTGATTCTCTTAGCAGTTAGGTAGTGACATTTCTAACTGTTAAAGAGTCTCTCTTTATTCCAGCCAACAGTAACACAAACAGCAGCTTTGTAACAAGTCAGGATGCTGTCGAAAGGGCTCAGCAAATGAAAAAAGAACTGCTTGATAAACTGGAAAAGCTGGCTGAAGATCTTCCACCAAATACACTGGATGAGCTTATAGATGAACTGGGTGGTCCTGAAAATGTTGCAGAGGTAGGCTAGTGTTCACATGAAGAAAAACTTGATGTTTTGCTTTCTACAGCCAGGCATACGTTACCTGGCTGCACTAAATCCTCCTTCAAGGTTTTGTGTGTCCTACATATCTATTAAAGAGAACTTGTTTATCAGTTTTAGTAATCTCACAGGGCTAAGTATAGGTTGCTTTGAATGCCTCTGAATTAAAGAGAAACTTGAAGATTATATTAGAATACAGCGAAGAGCTCTAAATAGGTTAACAGGTTATTTCTGAGAGTGATAGTTTCTACTTGGGTAAATCATACTAGCTGCTGCTTTGCTTTAGAGTAGTGTGTATCTCTAGTTGTAGTCAATTTGAAGCTGGTGTATATAACATAGAAGGCAGCTTTAGTTCATCTTCCTAGGCAATGAAGATTAAGAACCTGTAGATTAAAACTGTGTTAGTGAAAAGCCTTAAATTACTATTTTTCTCAATAACTTTAGAAACACGTCTTTAGTAAGCTGCCTATCATGTAGAAATATCATTGTGATTTAAAAGACTCTGTTAAAAGCAATGACAGTCTCAGCTGTCGGTTTAGTTTTAGTACTCTTGGTGAATCCCTTACAGACAGCAGTGTATACTGCTATATAATTTCAACATAGATATGCCTTAAGCTTTTGATTCCCTGAGTTACCTTTAAATAAATGTTCCATAAAGCAGGTAATGCCATCAACCAAAAATGATCAGGGTTCTCTAATGAAGTTTTGCACTTGGAGTAAATTAATCTATTTTAAGGCAATCAGTAGCATCATTTTTGAAGTTCTTGGTCATGTAATAATTTTTGGTGTTGCCATAACAAGCTTGTGTTCCCTTTTATTTGTAAAGATGACGGGCCGCAAAGGGAGAGTCGTGAGCAATGATGATGGCAGCATATCTTATGAGTCGAGATCTGAACTTGATGTGCCTGTTGAGATTCTGAACATCACAGAGAAGCAGAGGTTCATGGATGGAGATAAGGTAATCCTTACATAGCACTTAAAAAACCTTGCCAGGTGCTGTTGTGACACTGATTTAAGTTGTTCAAGTGTTGGTTCCACCATTATCCCACAGTGATTTTTCTTTTGGTACCCTTAAGTACTAGACAGCATTTTCTGTTCACTGTTGTGTATTTTGTTTTTCAATCAGTACGTTGAGTAGTGCTAATACATGGCTGCAGCATGCTTTAAAGGCCAGGCTGTAGTTTGGGTGGCCACAGAAGCCTGTGCTTGAGGTGTGTACACATGTACCAAACTGAAAGCTTTAAGCTGGTCTTGTTAAACAGCCTGTTTAAGAAGCAGATAAACCCTCCACATTGTTGTGATTCCTTTAGCTGGAGTACTGTGTACCTCTGCTTCCAGGAGGGAATAGTGAAATTGAGACGTGGGGAAAACCACTGATTGACTTGATATGAGAAAGCTTTCGGTGAGGGGCTGGGGACAGACATGGAGGCTGCTTAATTTATCAAGGATTGAGAAGTAATGCTGGGAAGAGGGACAGCTGTTGTCCTTTGTATTGCACTCCGAAAGAAAATACTGACTGGAATAATGGTAGAATTGAAGGGGGAGGAGGAACCACAGACCTTTCCTGTGGTTCATTTGGGATATGCTACCACAAGAGGGCAAATCAAGTAAATGTAGCTGTTGCATGATACGGGCTGGTTTTACACTTCAGAGTGAATGCTTGTGTTCCTGTGACTTGTACACAGCCCAAACCTGTACATTCTTTCAAGGCAGGTGTGTTCAGGTATTAGAATGGCTGTATCCTCTTTCTTTATAGTGTCAGCAGTAACATTTTGTGTGGCGTGTTGCTTGCTTTCAGAGCAAAGCTCCCCGTGTCCCTCCCCCTTTCTTTCTGAAGTGCAAGCAACATCAGAGGGACTTGCCCTTTGGAATGGCAGGACTGCAGCATGCGGCCTTTCTTCATTTGCACCGAAAGGTGTTGCTGAAAAGTAAAGTGAAAACCACTCCTTTCACTCAAATTTGTTAGCATTTTGAACTCTGATAAAGGGAACCAGGCTTCTCTCCTCCCCCTTCTTGCAATAGGAAGTCCAGATAACAGTGAAACCATTCCAGACCCGAGTTAGTAGTGATTGTACTGTTACATGTTTTAGACATTGAAAACTGAAGCTTGATTTTTGCATTTATTGCTAACTAACAACTCCTTTCTTGATAAAGAACATTGCCATCATCTCGGAGGCTGCCAGCTCTGGTATATCGCTGCAAGCAGACCGCAGAGCTAAGAATCAGAGGCGGAGGGTTCACATGACTCTGGAATTGCCGTGGAGCGCGGATAGGGCAATACAGCAGTTTGGTAAATGACCATTTTTGTCTCCTTTCCCTGGCAAACTCAGTAGCTGAATTCACTGCTAAATCACAGAAAATAAGATTGACTTAAGGACCCTTCCAGTCTCCTTTACCCATGAACAGCATCAGCTTTACAGTTGTAGCTGATAGTCTTGAAAGCTTTGAAACAAACTTAGCAAACAGACTTGCACTGCAGCTCAGGGTTTTGGTAGGTATCAGGTGTCTTTAACTGTAGAGCGTTTCTGTACAACCTGCTGTTGGCTGTATTACAGCAGAAACTGATTTTCAGTGGGATTAAATTCTGGCTTTTTTCTTTGCTCCTCACAATTCATAGTTTATTGGAAATATGCAGTGAAGTGGAATTTCTGTCATGTGTGTGCTTCTACTTAATTATCCAGGGCGAACTCACCGATCCAACCAAGTGACTGCTCCAGAGTACGTGTTCCTCATTTCTGAGTTGGCAGGAGAGCAGAGATTTGCATCTATCGTTGCAAAAAGACTGGAGAGTTTGGTACGGTTGTTTCAAGAAACCTGATCCTTCATTAGAGAAAACAGAACTTGGGTTTCCTTTTCTTAACACTTGATTTAATAACAAAGATGTGTCTTTACAGGGAGCCCTCACCCATGGGGACAGACGGGCTACAGAAACTCGAGACCTCAGCAGATTCAATTTTGACAACAAGGTGATGGTTCTTCCTCAGTCTGAAAGTTCATGCTGTGTTATTCCACACATCACAAATGACGTGTTGAGGAGGGATTCCTTTCATCTCCTGTGAAGTGTTTTACTTTAACTGTATTACTTTCTTGATAGGAGGCCTCTTTCTGGCATAGCAGTAAGCATTCTTAGTTCTGTTTGCAGAGGAATGGAACACAAATGTGTGTACATTTCTGTATTAACAATCCAAGTCTTAAGTAAATGGTCTGTGTTCTTTCAGTCACAACTCAAAGATTAATTTAGCAATTCTAATTACAAATTAAGATTGGGCTGTTTATAGAGTGGAGTTTAAAACTGGGGAGCTATAATAACCAGTTCCTTTGCTGCTGCAGTGAAAGCAACATTGTGAATTACAAATACTTGTTAAACCGTGTGTGCTTGGGGCTGAGGCACAAACCCTGGGTCAGATTGTTAGAGCAACTCTCTTTTTCTTATGCAGTATGGCAGAAATGCTTTAGAGATTGTTATGAAATCCATTGTGAACTTGGACTCGCCAATGGTCTCGCCTCCTCCTGATTTTCCTGGAGACTTCTTCAAAGGTAACTATAATTAACTGGGTGTAATTGCTCCCTTTTGATCTCCAGTATGCAGAAACGCAAATCATTCTAGAGATCAGCTGGCCCAGGTAGGCACTCACTGGATGTTAATCCTACATGTGTTGTTTGAATATTGAAGTCATGTATGAAACAACATATAGGAGCTCTCAGTGTGAGGCATATTCTGTATCTGACTGGAGTACTGAAGGCATTTTAACTTCACTTTCTTCACTTTCCCATTATCTGTTGCAGTTATCTTGTTCTGTGGCCTCATATACAGGGCCATTAGTACTTTTCCCTGCCTGTGCTTCTCAGAAGGGCAGAAGTAAAGCTCTGTCTTGCTTATTGGTGTATTGGGTAGAAATTGCATGGAATGGTTTTGAGGGGTGTCAGAAGTTTTAGACTTAGATCCTGAAACAAGATTGCTAACCAAGCTGTCCCTTCACTTCTGTACTCTTAGATGGCAAAGCAGGTGTGATTTAACATCTTTCTTTTCCTAGATGTCCGTCAGGGATTGATTGGCGTAGGCTTGATAAACGTAGAAGACAGATCTGGAATACTAACACTTGATAAAGGTATTTGTATGTTTAATGGATCTCTGGATTGCTGCTAGGAATATCGTGTATCATGACAGTGGGTTCCCAGCAATAGAATTGAAGTTGTAACTATCTAAAAAGCGACTTTTTGGGAAAACTTCAGAACATTTTCCTCCTTTTTAAACAGACAGATTTAATTCCTCTTTCTAAGACTTTGAATACTGATGGAGAGCTTGTTGTCAGCAAACTTCATCTCTGTTCACCTAATATGTGTATTTCTTATTCTTTTTTAAGATTATAACAACATAGGGAAGTTTCTGAACCGAATTCTTGGCATGGAAGTCCATCAGCAGAATGCTTTATTCCAGTACTTTTCTGACACGTTAAGTGCAGTTATCCAAAATGCTAAAAAGAATGGAAGATACGATATGGGCATCTTGGGTGAGTAAATCAGTTCATCAGCACCCTTCTGTGCTTGAGTAAGAGCAGAGAAACGGAGTAACTCTGTCCTTTCCTTTTAAGATTTGGGCTCTGGAGATGAGAAGGTGAGAAAGGCAGATGTTAAGAAGTTTTTAACTCCCGGATATTCTACCTCTGGACATGTAGAACTGTACACAGTAAGTTAAATCCCTGTCGTCTTTGTAGGAACTAATAACATTTGCTTGCCAATAGGGTTTTTAAAAGGTGGCAGTTGGCTAAGAGAGGGGAGGTTCCTGGCCTTTCACTGGGCAATATTTGGTTCTGTGGTTCTTTAGTTCCTGTGTCTGTGACTGTTACAGTCTGTTCCTATTCAAATCCCCCTGCGTGGCTTGCTTCTATAGATCAGTGTGGAGAGAGGAATGTCTTGGGATGAAGCAACTAAGATCTGGGCAGAACAGACAGGTCCAGATGACGGATTTTATTTATCACTACAGGTAAGATTCTTCTGTTTCTCTTTGATTATGTTTAGAGAAGGTTTCTGGGGGCTAACCCAATGCACTGTGTCTTCTCTTCAAATTAACTATTGCTCAGCTCTGCAGAATGCTTTCAGTGTTACATTAGAATTCATGTTAAGTTTGTTTCCAGCACTCATTATAAAGCATTCCTTTTTAGCTGCTCAAGGTGTTTTCTGATGGGATTGTGAGCCCAAATTAATAGCTCTTACTTACCCGCATGAAGAAACCAGATGCTTCCAGTGCAAGGAAGAGTTGTGAGGCTAATGTAGATTTAGTGGTATTGTCTTCTAAAGGTGTCATTATTACTGGTTGTCTTACCGATCACGCACACACATGCTATTACTCTGAAGAGCACAACATAGAATCACTTAAGGCAGATACTGTCAGCATGTTAAAGTTGTTGTTTTTTTTCTTTCCAGATAAGAAATAACAAGAAAACTGCTATCCTAGTAAAAGAAGTGAATCCTAAAAAGAAGCTTTTTTTAGTATACAGACCAAATACTGGGAAACAACTCAAACTAGAAACATGTGCAGACCTGAAAAAGAAATATAAGAAGGTAACTGTTGAAGTTATGTTGGTTTTAAACTTAAAGGTTGAAAAGAAATATAAGGACTTTCTTTTTCTGGTTTTTATGTATTTTGGCAAATCAAGAACTGGGCTTATTTTTCCAGAGTGGAGCTTGTAAATGGGTCTTTTTAAGCAGATTTATGTGGTTTCTGCGTTCCTATATCTGAAGCATTCTGAATATAAACAATGTGTGGTGTAGTAATGGAAAAGGAGGGGGGCGTTAGGGTCTAGCAAGGGGAGAAGTCTTACTTCTATGTAAGGTGTACAAACATGCTCTTAAATAAGCAGCTATGTACAGTGTTCTAAGCAATGAATCTGAATCTTCAGCTGGTGTTTTAAATACTCTAGTGCGTTATTAGAGGTGGCAAAGATACCTTAACACTTACACAATTCTGTGTGTTTTTGTTTTGTCTGAGTCTTGATGTGTTTTACTTTGTTGTGATTTCCCCCTTTGAATGACTTTTCCAGGTCCCTTCTGAAGATGCTCTGCCACACTGGTTGGAGCAGTACAACTCTTCTGCAGATACCTGCACTCATGCTTATTGGTTAGTATTTGTATGCACACAGGTACTTAAACTGTTCACTTAAACTACTTCTGTCCTTCTGTTACTCATGTGAAATCTTGTGTTTCTTGTCCTATGACCAGTCAAGTGACTCCACCTTTGAGTGGAACATGAAGCTTTGCACTTGCCCTTAGGGTACTAATATATGTAATAGATGAGTGTGATTTATACATTAGCATTCCAGTAGAAGTATAATGAAACTAGCTTGTGCTGTATTATTGTGGTAGGATAGTTCAGATGTTATCTGGGGAGGAAATATTTATACTTCCCATGGAGATGAGCTGTGTGTCAGAAACAGCAGCTCTTGTGCTGCCTCTCATGTGTCTGAACTCAGCAGCTGATGTCTTAATTCCTGAGGAACAGCATGTAAGGGGTGGAAGCTTCAGGTTGATATTGGAGTTTCTGAAACGTACTGATCAGACCTTAGTTTCATAGCACTTGCCTGTACACTTTGAAGACGTGGTCTCAAATTCTCAGAGCTTTACCGTTAGAGGCATGCTGCAGATAAAGTACCCTTCCCTCACTGTGAACTTGCAGCCTTTGCTCAACTCTGAATACACGTTAAATAACTTGAAGTCTCAATCTGAAGGGAATTGGATGGTTTCTCTTTGCAGAATTCTTTTGAAAGCTTATTTTCCTCTCTACCATAGGAGAGGCAATTGTAAGAAGGCAGGCTTGGGGTTAGTTTGTGAAGTGGGACTCCGCTGTCGGACTTACTACGTCCTGTGTGGTTCAGTATTGAGCGTCTGGACAAAAGTAGAAGGCGTTCTAGCCTCTGTGAGTGGTACCAATGTGAAAATGCAAATCGTGCGTCTAAGAACAGAAGATGGGCAGAGGATTGTAGGTAAGTGGCTCGTCTGCTCTTTATTTCCACCTTGCAGTAGAAAGTAGTTGGAACTTACAAATTGCTCCATGTTGAGAATCAAGTAGGAGACCCTTATAAAGATGGCGGGGGGGTTGGAACTGGATGATGTTAAGGTCCTTTCCAACCCTAACTATTCTATGATTCTATGCTTATGAGAGAAAAGGCACCTCAAGTGTCTATGTTGGGGAGGGGCAGAAGCACAGCTGTTGATATATATCTATTTGTAGTATTCAGACAGGTTGAAGAAGCAGGAAGTTGTTAGGGTGCTTTTCCTCCCCCTTGGAACACTTATTCTCCCAGTTCTTCTGATTTACTAGGAACAAAAATGTCATACTTAGTCTGTTCCAGCCAAGCTACCTTTGAAACCATGAGGACTCTACTTTTCCCCCCAGCACTCCTGGCAAAGAACAGTAAGCCCTTAAAAATGTTGGGGTTTTCTTCTTGTGTTTTGAGCTACTGAAAGTTGCATTTAATGAATACTTTAGGGTGACTTCAGGATGACTCTATCTTGGTTTCATTGCTAACCTCTTAGTGAAGCCCTCACAGTGGGTACCTTGAAGGCTGAAATATCCCTATTTGTTTAAATGTAGACTTAAGCGGATGTGCAGCATCATGGCAGCTCCTGCTCCAACAGCTCTAAGTCCAGAGGAGGCCATGAGGATGATCAGGGCCTGGAGCACCTCCCATATGAAGACAGGCTGAGAAAGCTGGGGCTGGTCAGCCTGGAGAAGAGAAGGAGACCTCATAGCAGCCTCCAGTATCTGAAAGGGGGCCTATAGGGATACTGGAGAGGGACTCTTCATTAGCAACTGTAGTGATAGGACAAGGGATAACAGGTTCAAACTTAAACAGGGGAAGTTTAGATTGGATATAAGGAAGAAATTCTTTCCTGTTAGGGTGGTGAGGCACTGGAATGGGTTGCCCAGGGAGGTTGTGAATGCTCCATCCCTGGTGGTGTTCAAAGCCAGGGTGGACAGAGCCTTGGGTGAGATGGTTTAGTGTGAGGTGTCCCTGCCCATGGCAGGGGGGTTGGAACTGGATGATCTTAAGGTCCTTTCCAACCCTAACTATTCTATGATTCTGTGTTGAAACTAGGTACTTCGTGTTTAAACTTTCACGGTGGTGTAAGTCCTGAGAGATAGGAAAGCAAAAAGTGCTGACTCGTCATTTTATGTGCCAGCAAGTGATGTAAGAGGAAGCTCTGTCTTCAGGGGCAAAATGGCAACTTCTTTCTATGCTGTGTGACCTGAAGGATTGAGTGCCTTGTGAAGATAATTACTGAGGAGCAGAACCTGTAGGTGTGCTTGATCAGACGTTGGGAGCTCACTGGTGACTGTTGCACAAATGCAGTGGTGGAATGGTCAGCCCGAGGTTTTAATGAACCAACTGTCTGCATGCTCACAAAACACTTGATCTTTTGCTGTTTCCAGGTCTGATCATTCCTGCAAATTGTGTATCACCCCTTGTAAACCTCCTGTCGACGTCAGACCAGTCGCAGCAGCTTGCAGTACAACAGCAGCAGATCTGGCAGCAGCATCACCCGCAGAGCATCTCCAATTTCAACAATGCATAAGAGGACAAACTACAGGTGTTGACTTTGGTGTTTTGAGGAAAAGGCTGTAAAAGCATATCACTTGCATAAAAATCAGGGACAGATTCCAAAGAAATATAACTTTTTCAGTTCAGTTGTGTGCTCTCAAATACTTTGGGAATAAAGAGATCTTAAAAGGTTGGTAGAACTGAAAGCCAGCAGTTGTTTATGGTGGTGCATCTGTCTTTCCTTATGCTCTCTGTAGTGCTTCCTGTTTGCTTTTACTTTTGGCCTTTTAAGCTACAAAACCACAATTTGTTTGAAAATGCTTGAAAATCCCCAAGCAGGCTTTATTTTTGTCATACAGTGCTCAGGGTTTAACGCAGTGCATCAATGCCATTGCTGTGGGAGATATCCTTGAATGCATGTATTGAGTATATATATAGAAAAATATATATTGGGTTTTTTCTCTTCAATTTATAAGTTTCTAAAAGCATGAAACCTAGAGGTTGCACATCATGCATTCAGGTTCCTTCCCAGTTTCTGTTTGACAGTGCATGTCTTTGGAAACGGGCATGGACAGGACGAACACACGAGACAGGAATTCGGAGAGAAACACAATCTTAGTTGTACAGCATTGGTTATTGCATTTTTATAGTGTTTCTACCCAGGTGTGGCATTTTTTCTGGTTCTCTCCTGGGGGTTATATATTTGAGTCTACAACATGTTCTTTTTTTGTGATAAAACATCTTAAATTAAACTTAGTTCCTTTTTAATGTATTAATGGTATTCCTCCTGTGTACTGCAAAGGCGGCTTGGATGCCTCTTTTCCTTCAATTGAAGCATTTCCTGACTCCGAGGTGGTGACAGAAACTGAAGTGCAAATTCACTTCCATCTCGCACACAATCTTCTCTTTTTTACTTCATTAACGTAATTTAATTTGTCACTTGTAAGATGAAACCTACTTGAGCTGTAAATTAGAGAATGGGAAACACTTGAGGGTTCCGCTGTATGTGCTGTTTCTGTTACCCAGTAACTTGAATACTGTTTAATATGTTGTAAGACATTGTAGAGTTTATCTGGAGCTGTTTAAAAGAAATTGTAATGTACAAATGTGAATAGTCACTTATCTATAATATGGGTAAGTTTTGTTTTGCCTATAATAGTAGATGTTTATAAGAAAGTGAAGGACAATGTTTGTCATTTCTTGCTTGCACAGGTTGCACTATTGAAAAATTGAGATTGTATAAACCTGTCCAAAAAAAAAAAAACCCTACAAGATAATGATCTTGTAGATGTCAAATAAAAGTTATTGTACTAACAAGAAGTGGAGTCTTGTTTAGGCAATCGCTGTACTCCAAAAAGAACTAACAAGTCTGTACAATTTGGAATTTGACAGGACTTGGCATGTTCCAGTCTGCTTGAACCAGGCTTCTGTCTCACAGCCCTGATGTCTCAGCTGAGCTCATTAATGAGGCAGGAAGTCAACTCTGCTTAAACCTGGATGCATGCTTTAAGGGAGGCTCCCCTGACAGAGCAGCACATGCACCATAGAGGTAGGGTATTTCACCTGAGTAAGGGTGAGCTGGATTCAAGGGTCGTGAAGAGGGAATAAGGGAGCCAGAAGTTCCACAGCTTCAGGCTGAAGTGAGCCCCTTATGTGAATTACTGCACTTGAGGTTCTGTTAATGCTGCCTGGGCTGGCACCGAAGGGTGCTGTTGCAGAGGGTCTGCCTGCTTTCCTCAGCTTCCAGCCTGGAGCGCTGGAGGGGATGAATCCCAGCGCATGCTGCTCACTAAATACAGATGTAGAATAAATCAGCATGTTCCTCCTTGCTGTGGCACCTGCTCCACCTCTGTACAGTGCTTGCACTGCAGGCAGTAGGTGTTTGGAAGGGTTTTAATCTTGCAGGAGGGAGGGGAAGCTTGCCTGAGTGCTGTAAGGCCAGTAGGAGCCGACTGTACCCTGGAAAACCCAGACCACAGAGAGGGTGTGGAGGAGGACACTCATGGGTTTCATACCCCCACTGGGTGTATTTGGCATCCAGTGCAGGAAGAGTGATGGGATGCTGACAGATTGCTGTTGCAGCAGAGAGTGAACCATAGTGCCAGTAACGGCGAGCTCTGTGTGTGCTTTGCTTTCTCTCTCTCTTTAATTACTACTATTTGGTGTAGGAACTTTCCCCATCTCAGATGGTAATGTGACACTTAGGTCTTAATCCTCAGAGAGATGGTTCTAGAAGTGGTAGGTTCACAAAACAGTGCTGTGTTGGTTTAAAGTAAGTCATTACTTAAATACGCTTCAGTTCCTCAGTGCTCTTCCAGCCTGTTGGACTAACTTTGGTTGTTGGGATGAGCAGTGAGTGGGATATCCTGTATGGATAACCAAGCCACACTGGTATGGGTGTTGATAGCTCTTTGTTCGCACCCACTTAAAACGCCATGGACTAGTGTACCCTGGAAGGAAAAATCCAACAGCACTTAAAGAGGATCCATAAGAACTATTCCCATTCCAGAGCTCTGTTCCCTTACTTGCTCTCCTTTGCCTGCTCTCTGCCAGTCACCACCATCCATGCCTTGGCTTTGTCATTCAGTTACTAACACAGCTGCACCCACAGCTCTGGAGCATTCTAACAAAGGTTAACATCAAACAGAAAAGAGCCTTCAAGCTACAGAAACTTTTTTCCTCTTGAAAATCCCTGCTCGGTGGTTGGGGTGTGGTTTCTGGGTAGTCGTTTGTTCCTCCTGTGAGCTCTGATAAAGCTTGGGGGAGAAAAGGGATATAAATAGCACTGGAGATGGGATAAGGAACAGCTCTGCAGTATCCTGCAGCATTGCTCAGTAGACAAACATCCTTGGAGGAAAGAGGAGAGACTTGACTGTCACATCATGCAAATTACGGTCTCTCTTCTTCCTTCTTGTGGGGCATTGATCTGCTTTGTATGAATCACCACCTGATGGATTTCAGACTTACAAAGGGTAGATGTGTCCTAACAGGGGCAAAGCTAATTCCTGTACTGCATTGAGTTTTGGAACTGTGCTGGAGGAGGGGAAGGTGCAGATTTAAGTTAACCTGGGAACTGAAGGGATGAAATCTGGAGTCTTCTCTTTGAAGTTGTCCCTTCACAGCAGCTAAACTTTGACTTGTTAAATCATTTCATACCTGAGCCGTGTCTGGCACAGGAACTGCAATTACAGCCCATTAAACCGCTCTCTGCTCAGCGAGTTTTCAGTTTGTTTTCCCCATCTCTGTGCAGTCCATTGGGAGCACACCTCTTGTAAGGACTCGGAGTTCTCAGCGTGCAGTATTGCCTTTGTAAATGAAGAAAAGCTCTGCAACCTGTAAACATTTGTCAAGTGAATTACCAAGGGGGGGGGGTTGTATCTTTCTGTTGCATTTGGAACCGAGCTTCATTCAGATCCCGTCGCAGTCTGTACATATATCGGGAGAGTATGTATATAGAGATGTTAAAGGCTACTGAATTATTGAATGTAAATAACTCTTGGTTTCCTTTTGTGTTTGTTTTTCCTTCATGACCTTCCCAAGATGTATTCCTATTTTCTCAACCTGCCAAACAGGCGCTTTGTGTGTACTTGGAAATATATATAGAGCATATATAAACCTTCTGAGAGCTGTGTGCGTGCATTGTGGACGTTACGCGTTGTCATCATTTTTCCCCAACTCTCAGTTGTCTGTCTCCCGTCACCCTTTGATGCAATGTGGGTTTAGGATGTATTTTTAGTGTATAATGCATTTTCGTGAGAGAAATGGATTCCTGATGTCCTTCAGTGACCGGAGCATCCAATTCCTGTGCCTCTATTAGAAACATGTTTTTCTTTACTCTTTTCAGATATCAAGCTCTAATCCTAAAATCCACTTCTATTTCTCCCACTGAGTATCTCCAGTGGGGTGTTCAGTGAGCCCCTACTATACAAGTTCTAGGATTAAGTGCATCAACAACAGGACCTGCCCACTCTAACATTTAAAAGTATGATTGCTATGTCCATATTAAACATTAACTCCCACTGGAAAGCCCCCTGGAAAGGTGGCAATTCGAGAGTAGGGAGGATGTGTCTGTTGTTGAGTATTCCCTGGGCAAATAAGGTCCACATGTGCAAAATGGCAGCAACGCAACTTTCTTACTCTTGAAGCAATGGAGCATATTCTGAATTGTCAGATACAAACATATGTATTTGTATCGGAGTTAGAGACTAATGAGAAATCCCTTGCACTGCCTGTCTTGGTTAGTCCCTAAGCTTCCTGCTGTTGTCACACAGGTTTTGCCTTTCCCCTCTCTCTGGGAAGGTCTGTGTCCATACAGTTACTCCCTAAGTGGTTGGTGAAGCCCATTGATGGGAGAGTCACAGCAAGAAGTGCCCAGCTGCAACTGGCACCCAGTGCTCCTGGTAGCTTCTGTGGTCAGTGCAAACCTGAGCCATGAACATGGAGAGCAACAGAGGTGTTCTGTCAGTGCCATCTGGGGTTCTCTGTCACGGGCTCTCATGGCAGAGATGGATGGGGTTGGCAGAAGGAGTAAAGTACCACAACCATGCCCAAGTGTGGAACATGCAGGCAGTGTTGGCCTCACCTGCTGCTCAGGCTGTGCAGTGAGCTTGGAAAGCACCAACTCTTTTTAACATGGAGGGAAGGAAAGACTGTAAATGCTGGAGTTTCTCAGCCACAGCTCTTACAGCTGAGGGCAGACTGTCCCTGAAAGCGTATGCTAAAGTGTGCTAAATAAAAAGTAAGAATTTACTTGATGTACTTTGCTGTTTCTTAATGGGTCCAGATGAGCAACTGAAGCTTGAGGCAGGTGTAAGATTCAAGAACAGGAACTGGACAGGTTTAAGCTGAAGCCGAATCTCATAGAGAGAGTCTTTCACTTAAAGATTTTGATTTAAGCAATGTCCTTGTTTATAACAGTCCTGTGGTGCTTAAGCACCTGCGCCAACCTCTCTTCTATTTTTATTTGCAACATCTAAGTTTGGTTCGTGTTCTTGAACTTAGGGCATAACTTTAATATTAGAGACAGGTCACCTATGGAAGAGCGGTTCTGTACTTGATTTGCACCGGGAAGGGTAAGGAGACACTTCTACTGGCATTCCTGATTCCATTCGTATATGCTCATGTATCTGCTTCCCGATTTGGAGAGGATGCCTAGGATTGGGCCAGGTTCACTGCAGGCACATAATGTCCTTATTTGCCAGGTCATTTGTTTCCTTTTTCAGTCACTAGCATAGAGTCCCACTGCTGCTGGACTTTGAGGCAGGTGTTCACTGCCTCAGCATCTCCCAGTGATGCTATGGAGGGGCTGTGCCGCATCCCCGCAACATCTATCGCTGTGAGGCTTCCTCTGCACAAAGGATAAGCTATTGTAAAGTAGCATTTGGCTTTTAGGACTTCTTTAGCCCCCACCTTTAACAGTACAACGGGCCAGAATTCCAAAGCTGTGTAACATTTAAGATGAATTGTGTGTGTCCTTTTTATTGCCAGCCCAAATCACAACCTTTTGCCAACCTTAAAGCCTTTGTTCTCCAGTGTGAGACTGCACTGGGTGTCCCTGGGCGCAGACAGTGCCGGTGTGTGCCAGCTCTGCTCCCACCAAGTGGCAGAACTTTGAGTGCCCAGCACTAAAACATTACAGCGATATTCAGAAGGATTTACGCTCTCACCAATGACAAACTGGGGGACACGACCAGTTCTGCACTGAGGGCTTTTCTGGGGAAAAAGAAATGTAAAATAAATCAACAACTACCTTGGGTATTTTTCCCTTTTAATTTCTGCTGTAGCATTTACCTCCGCTGTTTATACTGGAATGCCTTCCAGCAAGACTTCTGCATACATTAAACATCTTCATTGTTGCTCCATTTGAGGGTCCTTCACCCTGGTAGAAGTCATGTTGTAATAACCCAAGCATCTTTCAATCCTCTTAAATACCTGGCACTTACCCTGGTTACTGTGACTGGTTGATTAAACTGGCTTTGCTGGTAAAGAGCAGATCCACGATGGTCTCCAAATGCCAATTGAGATGAGCTTGAAAAAGGGAGGAGAGTTTATATTAAAAACTGTATCAAGATTGGAAAGTATCAACTGCTTCACAGTTCATGCACAGCATGCAAATCTCTTCCCTTTATCCACAGAGTTAGTTTGGGATAAACAGACTAATCTCATCTTATTTCTGTAAATCATTTTCTATTGACTCTCATTCTCGTTTCCCCCAGATCTGGAGCAGGGAGGTTGCCAAGTTCTCAGCACTAAATGGAGATGCCCAAACCTCAGCATTTAATTATTCATTTTCATAAAGCACTAGACTTTGTTCTGCAAGT